CGTGGGGTTTACCCATCTGCGCTGAGGGGTGATGTGCCAAGGTGGTAGGGCCGAAATTTTCTTTCGGGCCCGCATAGAATTCCATTCTTTCTGTCTGCAAACCCCTGAATCCATCGGCTTTGTTGCTTGCCAAGGTTTTTTGCATTTCACGTTTTTTCGCTGGGTATTGCGGCAAAATTTTCTCATGCATCTTGCTTCGCGTGGACTTTGGGCGTTGATGGGGCCGAGGCCCTTCGTTTCTTTTCCCACACTGTGGATTTCTGTGCGTGCTCTAAAACCAGGGTCCTTTGTGTTCCTGGGACGGGCCCCAGACACTCCATGGCTGTGCGTACACATATCACGGAGTGCGATCCATGCTGTTTCGCCCTTTTTGAATGTCCAGCACACGGACCCCAAGGGGGTTTCCCGGGTTTTTCTGAAAAAGGGACTGCTTGAGTTGGGGCCTTCAGCTTCCCGACGTTCAGCTTTTGGGGTTTTGTCCCCGAGGGCGTCTCCTGGGCCGGACACGGAGCCTGAGTTTCGAGCGATGAGGCTATCTGCCAACATCCGCGCCCACAGGGACCTTCGGACTCGTACATCCTGCCTGTCCGTTTTTCTGACGATGACATAATAAATAAATTGCCGTGTTTGAAAACGGGTGCATCCAGTACCGTTGGGGGTTTAGGGGGGCTGAAGAGGGGTTTTGGTGATCAGAAGGTTTTGTTTGGCGCGGGGTCTGAAGGACAGCAGGCCTTTTAATACGCGTGCCCACCCCAGGCTTTCCGATCACCCCTTTCCCCAGGGGGGCTGTCATGACAGACTCTCCTTTAAAGTCACCAAGGATTACTTATCTGCGCTGGGGACAGGGGTGTGAGGCGTTCAGGTCTTCATAAAATTGTCCCTTTAAACCCCGTCTGGGTTGGTCTGGGGGGGCAAGGCGCTGCTAATAGGGCAAACTTCTGCCGCAGGACAAGGGGATTCTCATCTCAATAAGGCGATCGTTCACTCCTTTTGGTGGGCCAGCCACTTGCCAATGAGGGGTGACTTTACTACAAACCAACCCTCCCCCCGTCCCCCTCCCCGGCCCTCGTCCGGGGCCAAAAGAAGGTATAGCCTGCTCTCTTTTGCAGGTTCGCCTTCCGCAATCAGTCTCACTTATGGCAGCGATGTCAAACGTACTGGGGAGTTCGTTCGCAAAGAGTGCTGTACGTCTCTGAGGGCTGTCTGAGTCGTCCCCGTCGAGAAGCTATGGACGTTCCAAGTGGCAAGGGTTTAGGTGTGATCTTGGTTTTTTCTTTATGTCTTTATTTCGACCCCTGTAAAGGGTTTCCCCCTCAACAGCAGTAAGCTGGCTGGGTTTTTGTGGAGCAGGCAATGTTTGGGAACCTTTTCAGTCCGTTCCTCATGCCATGGAGGTGGCAGCATTCCTGAAGAAGGGCTGCCCCAGTCCTCGACGACTGCCGGACCCACCCTGTCCCGTCGGAAAAAACGGCCCATGGCCTGAGCCGCCTGTTTGCGGTCCGCGGGTACGACTTCCGTGACCCCCACCTGTCGCTTTGTCGCTCACCCGCCCACAGGTCTTGGTGATGAGGGGGGTAAAGGATGCTGATGACTGCGTTGGGCTTTGTTTTAAATAAGGAAAGTTGCGCAGTGTCACCCCACTCTCTCGTCCGAGCCCTCTTGGGCCCGTGGCAAGACAAAGTCGAGACGACTGGGGATGGGATCGGAGCAGTGGTGACCAGGATTCCTTGGGTGCCCATCGTGCCCCCTTTCGCTCCACAAAAACCCTTGCGGAACTGCCTTTCTGCCCGTTAACTAATCTATGGTTTCATCCGTGCGGTCTGGGCCCGGGACCAGTTTCCCTGCTTAGGTAGGCAAGCCCAGTTGGTTTTAAACCGGGGGTCAATGACCCGATGGCTACCCTCATTTGGGTTTGCCGGCCTGCAAACCCCCGGGGGGTTTTTTGCCCGGGGTGGGGTGGCCTTCGCATGCAAAGCACGGACCACAAAATTTAACCAAAATACCCCCAAAAAAAGCTCCCCATCCCAAGGGGTACTCCCCCTCCCTGAACACCCCAAAAACAATAACAGTAACACTGTATAAGCTTTTAAAAATATATCAGGAATGTTAAAATGGTGCAAATGTTTTTAAACAATAAAAAAAGATGGGAAAAACAAACCCACCACTGTTATATTAGTCCTCAGTTTTAAAAATGAATTCATTTTCCCGGGGTGGTCTTAGGAACGTAACCCATCATTAACCCTTTTAGAGTCCCGAAGCCAAATTTCAAAGTGTGCCCCATGTCCAAGAATTTCCAAAAAAAATAACTTTCATTTCCTTACGAAATGGGGAAAAAATCTTTTTCTCAAGTTAAAAAAAAAAAAAGTATGAAATTTTATGGGAAAAATTTTTGAAAATTTTCCTCACAATTTTGATTAGCGATATTTTGCATCGGAATTTTGCCAAATTTGACTCCCATTTTTTAGGCCAATTTCATTTTTCCAGTCAACCAAACTTTAGCATTTCACTGTAACTTTTTTCACAATACACAAGAAAACGCCAATCATGTTTTTTAATACAAAATAAAGTGATTGGAAATTGGTAAATTTTGGGCCAATTTTTGCAAAATTCAAATTCTCCAAAAATTTTAAAAAAGGGTCCAGATAAAAAATCAGGCTTCCCGCCAAAAAAACATTTGCTCTTTCTTATTTTTTTCAGGCTTTTCTAATGAAACCATTTTTTATTTTTTATTTACATACTGATTTTTTTTTCAAACCAAAAAATAAAGATTTCTGTTATCAAACTGTAATAATGTATAAATAATTACCACATTTGTGAACATTTGACCCGCCGCTGGTGTGTATTAGAGTGTGAGGTCATTTGTTTACTCTAAACTGGCAAAAATTTTTTAAATTTTTCCCCTACTTTGAGCTCGGTTTCAAGCCATTTCCAGTACTTAAAAACCCAATCAAAATCATCTCTATTTCTGTAAATATTTTTCCTTTTTATCAAAAGGACCCAAAAAATTGCAAAAACAAATATAAAAACATACGAAAAAACAATCAAAGTTGCTGTTTTAATCGAAATTACAGCTCAGTTTTTTTTTCTCATTAGCACTATGTGCCTGATTTGTTTTTAAAAGTGGGATACATACCAATAATGTATTCTCTCATATCTAGGCCAAAATTACCACGCACAGCTTATCAGAGTGACTGAGTCATGAGTAGATCTACAGTTTGGACCCTCAACGTAAAACCGGAATCTACGGCACAGACCCTAGAGGTTTAAATGGGAGAGGGTGTATTCCAGTTGAAAAAATTTAGATTTGAAAGGGGATTGAATGCATTTGTTTTGCAGCAGATTTTTATACAAGTGGAACAAACTTGTAAGTAGCATCACCAAAGCTAAAACTTTGTGTAGCTTTAAAAATATGTTGGACAGATACATGAATGGGTGTGAGTTACACATACTTAACACAGACAAATAGGCTTACTGAATGCACCCCTATTCTTGTGTTTTTATTATTAACCCTTAAACTGTCCAAACAGAACTACGTTCACATGCGTAGTGCTCCAAAAGCAGATCTGCATTTTTTTACATATTTTCAAATATAACAAAAAAAAAGTAGATCAAAGTTTTTTTACACATTTTCAAATGTAAAAAAAAGAAAGAAGGTCTACGTTTTTTTACATACTTTCAAATGTTGAAAAAACGTAGATCTACATTTGGACAGTTTAAGGGTTAAGTGCATTACAGGACAACACGATGTATAAATACAATATTAGAATGTAACATTTGAACACTTACTTTCATCTTCTTCTCAACTTTTCTTAGTCTGGAGTTCCTTTTTCTGTCTTCTTCAGTTTCTTCTGGTAATGGAGATGCTACCCCACCCTCACCAGTAGAGTCTTCACCACTGGCCCGCTGCCTCTGAACATACATATCCTTGCAATATTACACATGACACAGGAAGAAATTTGTTCATACTATATATTCACTAACCATTCTTAACATTATCTGACCCATACATAACAAATGAACAAATTCTTACACTTTTGTTTTAAACAAAACTGACCACAAACATCGCCTTCAGTTGCCAAGTATCTTGGCAATTTAATAGAGCTGCCTCCAAGTACAGGTGTCCCCTACTGTATGCTATGGATGCATTCATGGCTGATGGCACATAAAGAGATATCAAATAAAGCAAGTTGAATACAATATACAAAACATAGGAATACATTCTAAGACTTTACAAATCCAACATAAATGAATTTCATATATCAACTTACCGTAAGATACCCTACAATGAGATATGAGATATGACAGCTTAACTTGAGTCTTGGGGTCCTGCACTCTAAAGAAGGGGCAAGGATATCTGCAGTTTAGAAAGGCATCTGAACTGTAGTATCAACAAGCCTCTGACAAGAAAGTGACAGAGTGAAGGATGGTGAAAATGTTTCTTTTTTGAGTCACCCTACCTTTGTGGGAGATGACCAGTGTGTTTAAATAGTGGAAAAGAATCTTTCCTCCATAAGCCATGCATGTCATAAGAGGCAACTAAAATACCAGGAGCAATGCACTAATAACCCCATGACCAATATAAATTACTAAAGAATAATAATAATAATAAAAGAAAAACTAAGAAGTTGGGATGCTTGAATGTGCATGAATGTAGTGAGGATAATAAGAAAAAGATAACTGCCAATGTTACAAATAAAAAGTTGGATGTCTTAGCTCTACACAAAACAAAGCTGAAAAGGATAGGGGAGTTTCAGTAGGAAGAAATAAACAGAATTAAGTCAGGAGTATCCGACAGAGTTAAAGCTATGGAAGGGGAAGCAATTATGTTGAAGGATCAGTTATGGCAGGAGAAGAGGGAATATAAATGTATAAATTTGAGGATTATGTGGAGTAAAATAAGGGTCAGATGTGAAAAGTGGGTTATAGTAAGTGTTTATGCACCTGGAGAAGAGACGAGTGTAAAGGAGAAAGAGAGAGCTTTAGGGAGATGTTGAATGAGTGACTGGGTAGTTTTGAACCAAGTGAGAGAGTAACTGTGGTGGGGGACCTAAATGCTAAAGTGGAAAAAACTGTTCCAGACACCCAAAAATATTAACAAAAAAATACATTTTATAGAGAATAACTATAGTTCTACATACAGGAAACAATGAGAAAAAATACATAAATGACTAATGAAATGGATAAATGAACATTTAACACCACAAAATTTTACCTTTATTGAACTCTTGTTTGCGTATGGAAATGGCGAGTGAGGGAAAAAGAGAGGAGTAGAGTTATGTTTGGAAAAGGGGAATCCCACTCCATAAGATTTTTCAGTATCAAGTGCCTATCCAGGGTTACTTTTTTTGTCTTTTACGGTCCCCTCTAGAATTCAGTTAAGTTCATGGTTACTTCCCTTTTTTTGTCCTTTTACTATAAAACATTTTCTTTTTCGCCTTCTTTATTAAAGGGCTGGCATTCGGAACTCTTTGGCCCATGGTGGTTTACGTATTTAGCAGTCACACTCAATAAACAAGCACAAAAAAAATGGATTATTATGATATGTTTCGGATGAACACGTGGGGTGATGCTCAGTTAACAAGAAACAAAGGCAGACTGAGTCACGAACGCATGGGATGCTCTGTGTGGGCGCTCAATACTGGGAAATGAGGAGCCGAGTCACACAGGCAGGCGGATGAGTTTGGTACAGACCATTTTCAACTGTACGAAAACTGAGCGGATGTACAAAAACTGGGACAAAATTTCAACTAAAAAAGTCATTGAAAACCGAATCATACAAAGGCTAGGGCATACGAAAACCAAGGTTTGACTGTATTTTAAGAAAGAGAGGATAAGTAAGTATACAAGATATGATATGGATAATAATAAAAACAGTTTGTTGGATTATGCATTGATGGATAAAAGGTTGATGAGCAGACTTAAAGATGTGCATGTTTATAGAGAGGCAACAGACATATCAGATCATTATTTAATTGTTGCTACAGTTAGAGTAAGAGGCAAATGGGGCAGAAAGAAAATGGCATCAGTGAGTAAGAGAGAGGTGAAAGTTTATAAACTAAGGGAAGAGGAAGCTAGGGTGAGATATAAGCACCTACAGGATGGCCCGCTTTACGGCAACTCACTAATTTGGACATTTCAAATTACAACAAAAAATTCATTTATGCAGCTCCCTGATTCGCTATTACAACACCCTCCCTGAGCTCTGTGTCTATTATGTCTGGAAACTTTCCAAAATTTCAGGTGTTTTAAGGAGTACCGAGTATTTTATATATACAGTAGGACCCTGTTTTACAGCATTTCACCTTATGGCATTCCACTAATACAGCAGTTTTAAATTATGACCAAAATTTGCTATACAGCGAGCAGTCTTTCAAATATGGCACACCCCACTCAATTTGTTTACATTCTCCATGAGCACAACTTTATTATGTTTGGAAATTTTCCAAAATTTCAAGTGTTTTAACCCTTTCAGGGTTTCCGACGTACTAGTACGGCTTATGCACCAGGGTTATTGACGTACTAAAACGCCTAAATTCTAGCACCTTCAAGTCTAGCGAGAGAAAGCTGGTAGGCCTACATATGAAAGAATTGGTCTATGTGGTCAGTGTGCGCAGTTTAAAAAAAATCCTGCAGCACACAGTGCATAATGAGAAAAAAAACTCTGACCGTGTTTTTGGTTTAAAACAGCGACTTTGCAGTGCATTTTCGTATGGTATTTATGGTCGTATTTTAGTTTTCCTGGTCTCATTGTACAGAATGGAAGACATATTACAGAAATTGAGATGATTTTGATTGGTTTCATAATGAAAAGTACCTTGAAATTGAGCTCAACGTAGCAGAAATGTTAGATTTTTACCAAAGCTCAAAAGTAAACAAATCATGCCAAGCGTCCAATACATGTCAACTGGTGAGTCTAATATTCTTTCACAAGTGCGCTGATATTATTTATACCATTTCTAAACTAATGCAGTAGTCTGCATAACAGTAAATCTTCTATTTTTTGTGAGAATAAAAATTCAAAGTGGAGGGGCCTGGGGACATGACTAATGAACAGAGAAAAGTTATTTTAGTGCCAGGAATGTCTGTCTTGTTTATTCTGGACCCTATTTGGAAATTGGCATCTTCTGGAATTTATGTGAAACTAGCAAAATTCAATAGACAAAATGGAGTTCTAGCGAAATAGATATGATTTTTGTCGACAAGTAGACAGGAATTGGCCGAAAATAGGGCTCAAAGTGGGTGAAATCACCGATGCGTAAACATCATCGAGACCACTAACTTCGTGAGAGCATAATTCCCTAAGTTTTCCATCAAATTTCTTACTTTTGGTGTCATTATGATCGGGAAAAGATTCTCTATCATTTCATAAGGAAAAATAATTTTTTTTTTCTGAAAAATTTTCAACCCTGAGAACGAGTTTAGGAGAGGGCCTCTCAACCCTGAAAGGGTTAAAATTATTGTATATTTTATATGTACTCTTCTAATTATACTTATGTGTACCTGTACACAGATATACTTACACACTGTGCTGGCATGCAGGTACACATTAAAATCACTAAGTGTCTCTACTCAATGCCATATAATCTCTCGGGTGCATTAAATGTCATATATTAAGCTAATTAACATATAAAGATGATACATACACCCACAGTATAAAAACTGACATAAATATGAAATTTATTTACCGTTTGGTAGGAGAGTCAAAGAATTATGTTTTCTCTAGTCAAATACCAGTAATTTTACTAGAAATTTATTCCTTTGTATGCTTTTACTCTATCTATAGTTATTCACGGCCCTTGTGGGTTTAGCTCTTCTTTTTTATTAAGATTATAATAATAACAACTTTTAATAATAATAATTTGTCAGAGCATCAGTCCTAAAAATTACATGAAAATGGAACTGTTGGTCTTTATTTATTCTACTGTATCAACGTGGAGACAACTTGTACACAATGTAAAGTGTTTGTATTATGGTATAATACAAACGTGTATGAAAGAACACCAAATGTGTTCACCTGGTTTGTTTATATTATGGGTGGGTGGGGTGGGGCAGGGAGGGCTGCCTTGGCTGGCTACCATACTTCTCAAACTTGACTTCCTACAAATAAAACTCATCTCTCACCCTACATTAAAACTACAAACATTTTAGGGTAAGTAATGGGTGTACTGTGTATGTATTATACTTTTCATTGTTTTTAATTCCTAGTTCTATTGCTAACTTAATACAGTAGAACCTCAGCTTAGAACGCCCCACCATGCGAACTTTTCAGTATACAAACCGTAGTTTGGTCGGTTTTTTGATACTAGATACTAACAAAATTTCAGGATGCAAACTTTCCCCTCAAGGGAGGTTCCTTAACCCTTTCAGGGTCCGTCCCGTAGATCTACGGCTGGTCGGTGAGTGTCCAAACCGTAGATCTACGCCAAAATTCTAGCGCCGTCAAATTTAGCGCGAAAGCGCTCATAGGCTTACATATGAGAGAATGGGTCTGCGCCGTGGGTGTGCGCCATAAACAAAAAATCTAGGCGCCTGCATAGCATTGTGGGAACGCCGGCTCAGTCACCCTTGTTCACCATGCCTCGTCGCAAGTCAGCTCTCACTCCCCGGAAAATTGGGACTCTCCTCTTCGTGTCTGATAGTTCTGACACTGATGGAAGTGGAAATGAAGACGAATTCTACGGCTTTGATAATTAGTGCCCGAAAAAATGACCAGGTATCGAAAATAGTGCAGAAAACCCCCGATCCTCGACCTTCTACCTCTGGTGTGGGCCCTCGTAAATCCCCGTGGGTTTCCAAAAACGTAAAAGAAAACTAATATTTTCCCGTGGCCTGGCTTGACTTCAGTAATGCGATGTTTTGGACGGGATTGTGTTTTTTATTGCGCTCGACGATCTTTGAGTGAGATGTGAGGAAAACATATTCACCATAAGCGTCGGTATGTCCGCCCCGCTGCGCTGGGTAGTGTACCCTTGCTGTCCCCAGGGGACGGAGTCATCCCGAGTACATGGGAGTACTTTCCGGGTACACCCCGTGGCCCTACACCCTTTTGGGTAGGGATAGTGAGGATGTGGGGCTACATTTGGGGCTGGGGGCCCAAAGGACATCAGGGGTGGTTTTGGGGGGCTGGTGGGGTATGGCACCCCATGCGTGACCCTGTGCACCCCGGGAACCCACGCTGCTACTCGTCAGTTCAAGGACAAAGCGGAGCGTCACCACCACCCGCCAAAACACCCGTAAACCACCTATGATTCCAGTATCCCCCAGCAAACCGTACTGGGTTTGGCAGAAATTCCCAATTTTGTTCCCAGCCCTCACCATTTTTGATGACTCGAAAAGTGGAATTTTACCTACCTCCCCCCTTTGGGAAACCCACGGCCAATAAAATGGAATTCTTTGAATTTTTTTCTTTGACCAGCCATTGATGGAAATTTTTGTCGGGAAATTTAAGTATTTTCAGTACACCATGGCAAAAGTCTTTTTCACCAATAAGATACACGGGTGGAAAGAGACGACTGTTGCAGAAATGGTTTTTTGTTTTTTTGAAACAATAATGCTTTGCCTCACGTCTTAAGCATAATATAAAAGCATATGGCCCACAGATCGGCTAATTTCTCCCCCATCCTCAGTGAAATAATACCTGAACAGGTTTTCTTACTTTTGTATGTTGCACTTTCTGACAAAACCGGCCCGGGACAGAAGTGACAGGTTATACAAGATTAGAAATGTTTTCTTATCTCAAACAAAATTTCGGTAATTTTTTATCCATTCAAAAATCTTGTAATTGACGAGTTTTGTTTTGTTCAAGGTAACGTCATTAAAGCAGTATATTGAGCAGAGGAACCGCTTTGGGTATAAAATTTTTTGACCTGTGATTGTACAGTGGCCTTTTTTGGGATATTGGTTGTATCACGGGTAGAAAAACACTGAAAGATCCAAGATGTTTTGGGTAAAACAGGTGCGTAGTGAGAAAATGAGGGCCCCTTATCTCGGTAAGGCCTACATTTTATACGATAACTGGTACACAACCCATTACCGTGTTTCATGCGAGGAACAAGACAGATGTGTGGGGAAACAGGGGTTTCTAA